GGGTATTTTTATTTATTTCTCACCTAATAAATAGGAAACATTTCTTCGATGAGAGGTAGCATTTAATGCTGAAATGAACTAGCTGTTTCATCTTAGTCCGACGTCTGGTATCTAGTGTGCATGTTTGTGTAATGTCGCAAGCCAAGGTTTGTAGTCTCCACTGATTGTATATGCACTTAGAGGTGGTAAGTTATAAACAGAATATCAGTTCTCCCCTAAAATCAATTGCTCCTTGTAGCAGGAAGTTCTACAAAACATTGGATATGCGATTGTGTTCTCATAATACCCTTGTTTGTTAACCAAAACTACAGACAAGCAGTTCGGGCGTAGTCATAAGATAATCCTCCAGCAAAAAGGACGCTGCAGACAGCGATCCTCTTATTTTGCATCCTTTAGATTGCAGATCGTGTTGCGATCTTTTCACTAACCGGCTCTTGGAGCAATGCTAAATAGCGACGCCTATCGTAGAAGTAATAGCTGAAAGTCAGCTATAGACAAATTGTCCTCTACTTATTGTAAATCCAATCTACAAACGCTTTCTGCGTCCCTAGGATCAATCCTGTGATTGAACTGAGTAATTTGTTTTCGCCGCTCTTGTCACAGCATCGCCTCACGGGGTTACGGCCTTAGTCAGAAACCGTTTACTTAGATAGACAGACATTTTTTTTAAGTTCCCGTTCAACCAACATGAGTAAACAGTTTATTATTATTAGATACTAAACAATTAAAGTTAAGCTGTGATAAGTAAGGACGCTGAATTAATGTGCAGGGAGATGCCGATGCTTCAACGCTATTTTTTCTCAGAGTAAAATTTAACGGTAAGCGATAGTGCCCTATTTATTGTCAACTTTCTTACGCGGGCGATTTATTATCAAGGGCCAAGCAAGTATATCCGAATCACTACATACTACTATTATGTGTTGGATCATTCAAATATTGGAAATAATAATTTCATCTAATGTATTTCATTCAAAAACTAATTAACTTAAATAGTAAGCAAATCGAAATACGCCGAGGGGCTCTACCGAATCCAACCATTAGGTACCAACGAAATAGCACCCAAAGGGCTTTTAGGGCCCATTTGTGACACGGTGCATATTAATTGTACGATACGAATAATTTCAACAAGTTCCTATATACCTGTTACTTCTCCTATTATACTGATCGATAGAGAATGTGGAGAGCGTTCATTACAATTCGGTCGAGTAGAACTCCAATAGTTTTATGTAGCACAGAGCACTTCACCGGATGATATGGCACTTGTACAAAATTTCAAGGGCTCGTTTTCTTTCTTCTATTTTGCGAAACTATATAGGACGATTCAGGACTATACCCGTATCGTACAAGTAATTTGCCACTTGAAAAACGAGAAGATTATAATTTCTCTGCCGCTAAGAAGCGAATCCAATGAGTCACATAACACGGTCTAATTTGACACTATGTTTGGATTAGTTACTCGTTTAGATTTTCTAATTACTATTTCCGATACTCCAGCAGCATTTCCTGGTACCTAACGCGTATACCAGCGGTCCTTGTAAAACAAATTACTAAGACAGCTAACTAATTAAAAAAAATGTAGAAACCCTTTACTTGCTGATACCGAGGTCTCTGTAATTTGGCTTTAATATTCAATTGATACGTAAAATTATAGATGGTTAAGTTATGCTTCAGATAAAATTAAGTATTTTATCTTATCTTCCAATCAATGTGCTTTTATTAAGGGAAAAATTAACAGATTCGCTGCCATCCTACCTGGGCGTGCAAAACCTCACTACTACTGGATTGTATGGGACATTCCTCCCTATCTTATTAAAAACAGAGAATGCCTGGATTTACGGTAATACTAGAGCACTCTTATTAGATTCCTACATATACTGTAACTGATATAGCAGTAATGATTCAAGGATTACTCCAGCTAAAAGTTTGATTGCTGAAAATAAGCTAAACCCATGCCGAAACCACTGTACAAACATCTAAAGACATGCGTGTATAAGTGAGTAGAGTATGTTTTATACAAGATAGATAAGGCAAGTTTAAAATCGAGATTTTAGACAATGTTGGAAAAAACAGAAGCTTTTTTTTGCTTAAAATATCGGAATTGAAAGTGTTTGTGATACACCCATTGAAAATAAAGCGACTGATGCTGAAAGCCTTGTCAAATAATCGCAGAGCAGAATTGCTCTTGATATTGTCGTTACCTAAGGTTCTCTAAACGAATTCACAGTTTCATCTTTTTTAGAGCAGTAAAGGTGACCTTGAATTGAATTATATAATTTATTCCATATTGGAAATTATTTGACCTTAATTGAAAGAAATTTCCATTTCGTCACCAAGGATTTTCTATGAAATCATCTACGAAACGTTCTCGAATCGTGACGAACACCCCACATGCTAGATGGAGGTCGTAAGATTTCTGCCGAGAAGTATTTGTGTGAAGTTTTTCCCTCGTGTTTCGGTAAATTTGCGTTCCTATATAACAAAAACACCTGCCGCCTTAGACATTCAATTTTCGAGATGTTGTCGAAGTCGTGTGGCACGTTTTACTGATCGGAGAATAAAGAATAATACGCGCAGCAGGATCTTTCGTCGTAACTACTATTGCAAAAGCTTATTCAGCGACATGTTTGAGTGCAGCCGATGGAGTAGGGTACGCGGTCAGGCAAGGAGATCTATGTGCAGAGGTGCAGGTAAATCAATGGAAGAGCATAAACTATAATTTAACAGCGCGACTAACAAGAGCACCAGTGGAAAGTGCCATATTGTTCCTGCTTGTCGCTGGTGCATGATAAGGCTATGGGAATTTCAGTTCTAAGCTCCGCAACGTCGGTGTCGGTATTACCAAATCGGTCTAAAGTCAGATCGGATTATCGGCCAATACATTTTGTGCAGATAAAAACATCACTTACTGTGTGGAAGTTACGTATGGTTTGCAAATTCTATGTATATGGCTGAATTGCCATGTTGTTGATTTACGCCATTTTTGAAATATCGTGCGGACAAGACAGGTACCTACTTAAGAGTCACTTGCCTTTTTTACCAGTTATAGCAAGAACAAATGGTGTTTCTTCAAAGAAACGGTATTAGTCATAAAAATGGAATAAAGGAAAACGTTGCCTCACGAGATATATTTCCTGCTGTAGTTTAGCGTGATATCACATGAAATTTTACTTGAGAATATTGACGAGACTATCATAAAGTTTGTTAGGAGACCAAGCAAGCTCTTAAATCTACCTTTTTGTCCTTATAGAAGATTTATCACATAGAAGAAACGTCGTACGATTATCATTTATGAAGGAAACTTATTGTCTGTGACGACCTGTGTAGGCAGCGATCATCACACTGGCGTGATTTGGTACAGTATATATACGTTCATGGCTATCTTAAAGATAATATACTCTTCACTCGAATATACGCTTTATTATGATACACCATGCATTTTATCTATATATTACAGCGGGACAGATATATAATATGAAGATAGACACATCGACAGCTACGTAATCACGAAACGAATCACTATGAAGCGCCCGTTTCTGCCAGCCAACAACAAAGCTCAGCAGCGTTGGCTCATTTTGGTGGAGCAGCGGGACTCAAGGATGAACAGTAGGATGCCTGGGCAATTGGACGAGTTCTAAGAGAAGGTGCATTAAAAGCGTTGAACAGCTGGGCGAGGAACGCGGGTGGTCGGCCGACTAAAGGACATCAAAAGCATGGCAATGCCAGTAAAGGGCTGGACGTTCGATTCACGTGTGTAAGAAAAAGCATCGGACGGTTTCGATGTACGGTTCGATGGCTTCCTTTCAAGCAAGGCACGTTAGCTGAACTACTTTGTGTCTTCAGGAGTAGTGGAAAGACGTTTCAACGATTCAGATCGTTAATGGAAGTTTGCTGACGGAGCTAAGGTATTTTGGTTAGCATACGAAGAACTGCGAAGTTCGCTACCTTCGCTAACTTAGTCAAACCGAGTGCGTTCCGTTCATGAACCAGAGAAGCCTGCGCTTGCGAATACAACGTCAGTTGTTTCCAGTTGTATCGGCACAGAGGCTTGAAGGCAATGCTGCGTCACTTACTGCGGGTTCGCTAACACGCTTTCCGTCCCCCAAAAAGTGCCAGCCTTAATGCGGCAGTTAGGATTAGCGTTGCCAAAATCCAGTCGAGGTTTTGGTAATACTAATTTGTCATTAGGCCAGTCATAGGTAAACAAAACCGTACGGAAGATGGTACATTACCATCTTCTGGTCACAGGAAAGCCCGTATCACGACAGCAGAATGTACCTAAAAATGACCCATCTTCTGGACACAGGAAAGCCCGTATCACGACAGCAGAATGTACCTAAAAATGACGGGAGGCCTGGTTGGCCAATTACTACGGACTAGTGGAAAGCATCCTCAATGGTGGCTAGAGTCGACAATTGTGCAGTCCATTAGTTGCGTACCAGCACGAGAACGTAAACGGCAAGTTACCCGCTGCTATCGGAAGCGGGGTGTCCTGAGTCATAACGGAGCATATGTATTACAACTGAATAAATGTTCGCTTCAATATACTTAGGCAGGAGAACAATATCTGTTTAAACGGTGCTGTGTCAAATATAGTACATTTTAGTGTTGTAGAAGTATCTTTAATACTGCTTTACACGGTGGTAGGAACACGGTGGTATGAACTTCGCAGCTTTACGCGGTGGTAGGAACTACGCTAATAATAAATAATAGTTTATACCGGTGGTAGGAACTACGCTAGCTTTACGCGGTGGTAGGAACTACGCTAATAATAAATAATAGTTTATACCGGTGGTAGGAACTACGCTAATAATAAATAATAGTTTATACCGCTTTACACGGTGGTAGGAACTACGCAGAGGGTTACATAGCTAATGACGACGTTGACGTTTACTAACCGCTGCATATAGTCTACTAAAGATAGATTTAAACTTGGCTGCATGTAATTTGCTGAAGACGGATTAAAAAAGACTAAAAATAAAATTAAATCTAATAAGGATTTATTAAACTTGGCTGCATGTAATTTACTGAAGATGGATAGAAGACTAAAAATGAAATTAAATCTAATAAAAGAAGATCATTGACAGGAATATCATTGACGAGTTGAGGTTGTATAAAGTCAATAACTGGCGCTGGGCATCATATGCAAAGTCGGAAAGGTTTTTCGTAGCAGTGGAGATATACTTCGGTGCGCTCTTAATACCATAGACATGAATGCGGTCGAGTATCTGGTCCGTACCGTTACCACCCATTGATCCAATCATAAGCATCCGGCTATTAATAATAGATTTCACTACACGGTAGTGGCCCTTGGGAATAGAATCAATGCTTTCACCGTCGTCAATGTACAATTCTCCCTCGGAATTATTGTGTTCGTTCAGGAAAATATATAGACCGAAGGGATTAGAGCGAGATTCTGTTGTCGTCGCTCCGGGCTCTTGGAAGAACACTGAGTAACCACCCTTCATGAAGAAATTTATAGTATCATCATAAGCAGGTAGAGCAACGGCCTTTCCACCTTGGGACGCGTCAATGATATCAGTTCGGTTCTGAAGATCGTACCAGATGCCTTTGGGAAAGTAAGCATTAATAACTTTTTGATCTTGGTAGAGAGCAGGAACGACCATGAGTGCGCCTCCCCACATAAACTGATCATCATTATCGTACGTTGCACGATCAGATGGGTTGTCAAAAAACAATGGACGAGCAACCGTTTCTCCGAACGCGTGTGCACGATAGAACAACGTGTAGAGGTATGGCAGCAGCTTGTAGCGCCAGTAGTATGCATTCCTTGTTGGAATAAGAACCTTATCACCCATAGAGGCGGGATCTTGAGCTATGGCATCGTCCGTATTGTGATTACGGGAGAACGGGTAGAATGCACCGAGGGCCTGCCAGCGAGCACACAACTCCACCGTCGTGTTACCATTAAATCCGCAAATATCTGCGCCTACCATCGGGACTCCATAGAAGGAGAACTCGAGGATTCCGGAGACGGAATCCTTAAGATCTGTCCATGATGACCACACGTCACCTGTCCAGTGTCCTGCGTAGAATCCACTACCCGAGAACGTAGATCGCGAAATGATGAAGGGTCTCTTTTTAGGCCTCGTTGTCGCCAATGCGTCGTAGGTGGCAATTGATTCGGTGAATCCGTACATGTTATGGACATCATAGTGTGAGGACCAATGATGCTGGTCAGAGTTGCAGAGTGTTTTGGTAGCCAGAGGCTCGTCACCAGGCGTGTAAACGATTCCGATATCAGCTGGGCAGCCCTCGTTCATGTGACCATTCACCATGTTTGATGGTTCGTTCATGTCCTAAAACGTTCAAAATTATTATCGCGTACTGATAAACTAACCCTATATTGTTCCAATATATAAAACAATATATTCCAATATTTAAAACCACTGTACGACGCTTAAATGTAGTAGAAATCTTTTTTACATTTAAACTGAACCGGAGTCTTTTAAATAAAAAAAAAAGTCCGTTTTCACTCATTTGAACTTGAGCATTTTCTTACCTTAAAACATAATGCAAAACAGCTGACACTATCTGTATTTCATCAGATTTTTAGAAAATACTTACAATCCATGCACCGTCAAACGGAACATCCTTGTGGAGGCTCTGGAACATTTCGGTCCAGTAAGCAGTGGCGTTTGGATGAGTGAAGTCAGGAAAGACACTGGACTTAAAGTTCCATACCTTGCCATAAACAAGTTTCCCGTTGGAATCCTTAACGAATACATTGTAGTCGAAGCCCCGATCGAACGGAGGATATGTACCAGAGGTTTCACTGCCACTTACAGCGGGATCCTAAAATTCGGTCACATGATTACTCTAGATATTACCAGCGTTACTATTGCCACGAAAATTGCTGACTCTGACGTTCTTTCAGAATGTTGAATTCTCAGGTTGTTTTTACTTGATAGTTCTACTTCGGTCTGACGTGGCGAAAAGTGTGATATAAACCGAGTTAAAAACTTATGAAGCGAAAACTATATATAACAGTAAAATGTTTGATCTCTGACAAGGTTCAATAATTTGTGTTAATAAAGAAACAAAGTTACAACGGTGGAATACGACAAGCATCATAATTATATGTATGTTTACATGGAGTAATTAAGAAAGAAGACGTACGATAATAAGAACGTAGTGGCGTCCGTCTTTGTGCAAGTCCCGGACGAAATGACCAAGGTCTCCATAGTTGATCGGGTCGACGGTGAAGCCATTACGCTTGTTCATATAGTCTATATCGTTCCACTGAACGTCCTGTAAATATAAGGATACACTTATAAGAAATTTCAGGATTAAAATATATGTACGTTTAATCGTTCATCAACCCACACTTAAATTTTAAACTAAGTTATCTAAGTGAGTGACACATGTAGTTCCTAAGGTATAAACGAACAACTACCCTCAAACCAATTGAAGCACATTATTCTAGTCACACAAATTACATACAGAAGATTGTAGAGAGATTTGCAAAATACTCTTCTATTATTAGCTAATATGTAATAGCATTCCCGAGAACGGGTTTGTTGTTTTCCGTGACCTTTTGATGCGTCGATTTGGCCTGACGAAAAAGAAATGTTGTCGCGGAATCGATATGACTAAGAATAGATATCATTTTAAAAAAATTATAAAGATAACCAAGTGATTCACTGACATTTTGCGTTTTATCCTTAACAGTGGTCTGCGATTTAGCAAGATCAAATTGCGAAATTCGCTAAATTCTTCGCGCCTCACATAAACAAAAAAAAAAAAAACAATTAATAGTTTAAAAAAAACATTCCATAATATTTAAATAATATACATGAAACGTACAGATTAGGAGTTAGGTTTACTTTGTAATAAGAGAAGGACCGCAGCGGCGCAACAGGGCAATGCCAATACGATAACTAGTTAAAAATGAAAGAGCGCCTCAACAAAAACGCGATAATTGTAAGAGCAGAATGAGACATGGTGATGCGGGTCGGAAAAAGAGGTGATCGTCGTGAAATATGTTTACCTCTTCCTTGCTCTGCTAAGTACGGCAAAGCGAAAGAAAAAAAGGGCAAAAAAGCTATAAGCTAACTGGTGAACCACGTAGCGGAAGTAATTAAATGACTAAAACGATACAATTGAGGACCGGATGATCCAAGGACCATTAGGAGATGCTTTCAATGGTATAACAAAGGTAACCGCAATAAGTTAACTAGGATAATTAAAGAGGTGCACCAAACGTAAGCTCGGGTTCAATAGGAGAGGCAGAGAATAGAGATTAGAAAAGGTAACAGAATGGCAGAGCTTCGCATGGAGTTCAGTGTATACTAATAAGGCGGCGCAAGCGCGACAAAAAAGTGCGTAAGCCCTACATTTGAAGCTGAGGTGTCGACAGTCTGTACCAGTGAGGCCATGCGTGTTGCGATTCGCTACGCACAGCTTAAATAGTGATAGCCGTACGGGCTGACATAATTACTTACGACTCTGACTTCTGCATCGAGGTTTTTCTGTAACACCTGCCGGGTATCCTCAGTGTTATGGTAACCAAATCGGCAAAGGTGGTACCCGAGCGACCAGTATGGCACCATTTTTGGTTTACCTACAATATCTTGATATTGCTTGACAACATCGGCGGGAGTGGGCCCGGTGAACACAAAAAAGTCAAGGATGCCGCCGACAGGTCGGTAGGTAACAGCTGGAGCTGGCGTAAGGATGACGTCAAGCGCGTTTGAATTGAAAAGCCATACGCCATTGGCACGTCCATCCGACTCGACATTGATATACAGTGGCTGGTATCCATAAAGTCGCGCGTTATATTCTGGAGCACGATCCTCGTTGTAGAAGGTAAGGCGTGTGTAGTTCATAGATCGTCGTAGCCTTCCTTTGTGCTCGCCCAGACCATAGAGTACGTCAGATGGAAGAGAATTTATTATCTGAATGAAGTTGTCGGTGTAGACCATCGATGCCAGATTGAGACTCACTCTAAAACAACATGAATTCATATAGAGACATCGAAAGAATGTTAAAAATTTTTATACAAAACTTGAGTTTTATATTTTAATTGTGCACGATCGTGAACGTTACAGAACTGCGCCGTTACGAACCACTCACATTTTGGTGGTGACACAAGTATTGTGCAAGCGAAAAACTTCGAGTTTGCCGTTCGTGGTCAATGAAAATGAATAGGCGTAGTCAGAACTGTTAACAGGGGCAGGTGGTCTTGGCAGAGGCGGTTCCCATCTATCGACTGACGGGTCAACAACTCTAATACGAAGAATGCTTTTACTTTGATGAATGACGTCCACCCGTACAAGATTAACGTCGACGTCGATATTTGACGGAGTACGACGCTTAAGGAAGATACTAGCTCCATTCGAGCTGTTTGTTTGATTGACCATTTCATAGCCAACATAGTTCCTTGGATAGAAACAATATGGGACATTCAGAGGCGGAAACTGCTCACTTCCTACAATGAATGTCAATAATAGCAAACGATAAGGGTTACTGTTGACTTCTTTTCGTTTCATTCAAGGGAGAGCATTCTGTATGTTTAAATGACTCGACCTTGTCTTGGTGTTATTTCTACATGTACGTCGTGTACGTAAGTTCTATTGTTTATGCTTCTACTTCATCTACACTCAAAGCATAGTACACAGCTAGCTGTTTGTCAAGTGCTAAGCTACCAGCCAGATTAGCATCCAGATCCGTGAACAATTCAAGCTTTGAAAGCCAGCAGATTTGCTTGTGCCTGGTCCAATACAAATGTACCGAACTGTGGCCAGGTTAAACCCCATAATAGCCAATACCTAGATTGAATTCTGCAAGAGCGTATCGGTTGTATCCGGCGTATCTCTGCTGCTACGAAATTTCACTTACCATCGACTGTCGGCAACCTCCAGCAACATCCACGGACCCTGCACTTACTTTCATCAGACCCATTTTCGGGATAACAATCGAACCTTAATGTGTCCTCTAATCCATCGCACTGTGGACTATTTTGCGCAGACGAGACGTCAATGCCACTGCTGCAGAAAAAACTTAGCAAGTTACTTTCTAGCAATCAATAATGTATATTCTCCTATCTGTCGACTCGATATGTGGCATTAGCGTATAAACTCTGATCAGATTTCTCGAATCAAAATTTGGCTAGTCAACCTAATTAGACGATGCCTAATACCTCCTCCACACACACCGGCGATGGTCTCTTGGAGAACTTGCTGTGCTACTTAGCCCAGGATCGATGTCTTTTCGCCGTTCAGTTGTAACGATACTGTTTATTCAGATATAGGGGCCCCTTTAGGGCAAGGATAAGGGTTGAATAAAGCTAAACAACTCACTTTTACTAGGCTTGGTAGTGACACTAGTTCGCTCATTGGTAAACTCCGTAGCTGTGAGCCGTGGCTTGTTTTGCGTAAAAGAGACATGACTTACAAGGCAAACTAATCATACTTAAGAATGGACGAGTCTTCCGTACATTGTTAGACTTACATATCGCAATATTTCACAAGGCAATATAGCTAGTCACATATTTATATATTGTTAATATATAACATTTCCATGTACGTAGCGAATAGCGTTTCATGTGGTGTTGAAAGCATTTTGCTGGAACGTTAAATTGATTATAAATTTAGTAATTTAGAATCAATTTAACTGGAACCGGGATTGCGGCCCCGAACGATGAGTTAGCTCGCCGGGAGAGTGGGGCACCTATCGGCAGACGAGGGAGAAAGGGGGCCCAGTATCAATAATTATTACGCTTCCAGCGGACGACTTATCGCTAGCCGCTTGGACGGGCTCATTACTACCTGTCTATAATACAATGGCACTGCGCATCACGCTTAAACAATCGACCTAACGGCCAGCGAAATAGTGATTTTCTATTTTGTCCTACTTGTAATAACAATCAGTAGTAGAATGTCGGTGTCTAATCAAAACTATAATTAATCAGTTTGTACAGTCTTCGAAACGATTTAGCTAGCCTCGCGTACAATCAAAGTGTGCAGATAGGCTTCGTTCAGCAAACCGTTAGCAAGTTGGCAAATGCCGTATTGTACAAAAGTTCTCCGGTGGCAACTATGCAACAGTTCCTATGGCTCTACTTAAGTAAACTTTAGACTTTCTGAAAGCGAGCAGCAACAGGATAAAGATGCGACAAAGATGGTGGAGACAAGCGTTCGATAAGAAACAATGTTACATACCAGACAAGTGCCACTAGAAACCCTAGCCGCATATTGACAGGATTGCTGGCAATCGTCGATTGAGCTCACTTTCAAAGAAACTCTCACTTTTTATAGAGTCACACTCTTGCCCGCCCGCCTTCCTGCCCCCCTCGCAAAACACCTATCCATCCAAAATGGCTCACGAAAATGTTCGACGTCGATACACAAGCTATATGCATAAACAGCAAAAAGAAGCCAACTCTGACCGGGTATTTTGCCCGTGTCTATGTTAATTCTCGCCCGCTGTTAGACTATCACTAAATGTGTAGAAATTACCAATGATAATGCTGTCCGCGTTAGCTCTAAGAAAAGGCACCCAATTCAAAAGTGCTTGATCACAAGCTGTTAGGCAGCCCCAGTCTAACAACCCTACGCTAAGGTATCTATGTTTTCGAACGTAGCCCACTCCCCCTGTTAGGTCTTCCGTTCGGTCTTTTGTGGACGATGTTACCAACGCGACAACTTTTCAGGTTCGCTTTTTAAATTAGCCGTCCTCGGTATAGCGATTTACTGTTTACTGAGTTTTTGGGCTATCTGATGCTGTTCCTACAAATAATATAGCTAGCTTTTACTTTTGATTTCGAAATGACATGAAATTCCGACATGTTTTATTCCTACCCTTGCCTGCCTCGCATCAAGATGCCCTCAAACTACAATCAGACCTTATTACATTGGTCAGGGTAAGGTGGCAAGGTGACTAGGAAAAAATTCACTAAATACAGATTTCTAATTGATTCGATCTTCCGGTATACTTTTCACGCTTGCTTTACTGCTTTTGATATATGTGTATCCATTCTGGGCGCTCTTTTTGCTAACAAGCAGACGTACGATGGCTAATTTTTCACTTTGACGGCAAGACTGTATCAGCCTTGGCGCTCTTCTTGCAGTTGTTCCCATGAGCCTCTCTGAAGAGCCTTGTTACTGCGGATTTTTGTACAAAAACTTGTTTCCCTTAGGCAACGCTCCAACTAAATAAACAGATTGGTACATAGAGATCTGTACAAGAACTTTGCCTTCACTTACTTTCTTACGTCGAATTTGCAATATCCAATAAAGCTCAGCGAAGTTAATTAAATCAAGATAAATGCAATAGTAAATATCGTATAATTTACCTAGAGGAAAAAACACAAACAATGCACAGCAGTAGCAGGTGCTCGGCATAACGGTTGCCCTTTTTCCCGTTCGCAAGTAACAAAAAAAGAAATTGAATCGATCCAAGGTGGGGCGCTTCTGCCTATTTTTTGGCGTGTTTCCAGCGTTTAGGCATATACAAGTGTTCGTTCGATGAACAAACAGCATAGGCAGGAAACAGTTTCAGTATATATAGGTATACTATATATACTCTATATACTATATACAGGAATACTCCTGATTCAAACACGAAATGATGATTAATCAAAATTGACGTACCTCTTTCGCTGTCCAGCTCTTTACACGAAGAGGATGAGAACACGCGCAGATGCCTGAAGTAGCGACACGAAGATTTCAGGTAATCTTTAGGCCACAGATCGGCAATAATCAACCTCGTTAATTGGTGGACGGGCCTATGTCATTCACTACTCATCGAACCCGATGTGTAGTGAACGACTGTGGAAAAATGGCACATCGCACAAATAACCGTGTGTGTTCCCTGTACGTAAAAGAACCACGTTGTTTGCGCTCATTTTTTCATAGAGTTGCAAATGACAGCTGTTAATATCCCATCCATGAGCTGACTGTTCTAAATTATTTGCTAAACTATTAGTTTGCAAAAAGATTGTTGACAGCTAACAATCTTGATAGCAGTCTTTGAACGAGTCTTATGACCCATTTTGTGCATAATTGGTACTCAGATAGTAGCATATTAGGAAATTACTCTGTTTACATATAGCACAAATAGAGATATATAGATGCCCTGTAGAAACACAGAAATATCGGCATAGGAGCTATTGTGATCAGATACAATAGCTGTTATAGCGGCAGGGTAACTGGTGCTTTAGCCTTTGAAAGCGTGTTGTTTAATTAAAGGCCAAGGGCTTTTGCGTCACGTACGAACGACCTCCAGATATGATAGGGCTTCTATGGCATTATTGGTTGTTACGTGCGACTGTTTACCCTGGATAGGCTTCAGTCAGTAGTCATTTTCTTCTCTATATTGTTATCTGGAGTCTTCCGTTCTGTTTTTCTTTTCTACGCCACTGTTTATTATCATTGTTGTTGGTCGTTGACTGTGTCCTCGTGTTTTTTTTTCAACGATTAGCAAGCGACTAGGTCCACCAAGGAAAAATAACTACAACGTTTGTATTCAACGGGCGTACCGTGTCGCTACTGGGCTAATAACAGTAGAGTTAGCTAAATGTAAGAAGATAGAGTCAATACGATTTCTGTTTTGCTCATTCTCTAGCCTCACGTTTATCCCCTATCGACCCCGTGCGATGATGGCTCGTGCCGCCGCTGTCGACGCCGCAGCAGCCGACCCGCGTTCTTGCGTGAGGGCAAACTCCTATTTCCGGTAATCAAGGTAGTTAGACTTCGCCACGCTAGCGACTGTTGTGTGGCCTCCCGAGCTCACTGTTCTTCCTTTTGCCTGCTCGTTCGTTAGGCGCATACGCAGTACATCTAGTCAACAGAAGTCAGACGGCAGGGTTCTAAGTTGGCAATCGTTCCAATAATTCACTAGCGAACTAACTGTCACTCAGCTCTTTTTATAAGCGGCTTTGACGATATTCTTTGTACTCCGAAACATGGACGATGCAACTCACGTACGAGTTTCGAAGAGCGGTAACCGCGGCTACAGCAATCCACTTCCGCTGTACGCTAAGTCCTTACCTCCGTCCGTCACTTCCAACAACCTCCAATTGTGTGTCGCCGCTGCCGGTGCTACTCATACCGTCATCGGCGCGTCTTCGTTTTCTACATTTAGTCATCGTTACCGGTTTACAGGACGGACGACACTCATCGCCGATAAATTTTTGGCCTGATGTATGCGACGCCAAAAAGGAAGGAGGAAAACAAAAGGGAGCGGAACGGACAACATAGCGGTGCCCGCCCGCTTTTTTACGCCCCGCTTTGATCCGTTAGAGTTATGCATAGAACTTAGGCTTGCGATTGCAATTAAGGCGGACGTTATTAATAACAAAAATAAAAGTGAAAATATAAAAGATTCACTTTCATTTGCTTGTATGCAGTTTGTTGTAACTTTTTGATAAATTGGTTAAAGGGCAAAATAAATTTATCGACTTTTACGTCTCGACCGGCAGCCGTCATTAGACTAAATTTTTATAGGTTATCATGAGCGATATTAAGAAAAACTTTCTTGAATGAATACAGAATATAACGAGCTGTGTCGTACATCCGATCCACGGGCACGCATTTCATCGATAGATGGGTCTCTCTTGCGCTTTATCGAGTAAAACTTCGTAGAATGCTTTTGAGTGAGACGATTTATTTATTTATCGTCGCCTGTCATGATTGGAACAACCGCCCTGTTTTGCCGAAGCTCCATTAACTTTTCTCTTTTCAAGGGACTGAACGTAAGGCCCCAACGTGTTTGCCTACTAAGTAAAGATCCATATAAGGCTGTCTAGGTATAAAACTAGGCGTGGATACGCTTTAGTTTGTGCCGGGGGCTAACTGTCTAAAGCGATAGAAATTAACAGCTGTGCTAGATGGGAACATTTAGACATTAAGCAAGCTTGTTTAACGTCACGTCCCGAATAGGTAGTTTCTAAACATGAAGCTTAAAATAATGTACGAACAAAGTACGAATACTACTGCTGCTGCTGCTGCTCGCTTTGACGGGCGTTTTGTTTCGATTGAAAGTTTATGCACCGATTTAATTTAGATAGCTTGTCTTTATTTTGATAAGCCGCTGTCTGCTCTTGAGTTGTTCAACGTACTATTTATACGCCGCTAGATAACGGAACATAATGAAAAAACCGTGCTTTATTCCGTAAAAGATGTATCCATTTTGAGGAAGTCGCTCCCTTGGATTATAAACTCTTCTTACTCATGTCAATAATAAAGAGGGTTAAATATGCGACAAGGCAGCATACGCATTACTATAAGCATCAGACCTATCACTTACCTGATGCTTTCACAACCGTCAGCGTCGGCGTGCCTTGCCAAAAGCACTGAGCGAAAAGGTGTTTCAGTTATTTTCATATACAAGTCAACAGATTAACACAACCATCATACCGAAAATGAATATTATCATTTTTTTTTTTAATTGATCGATATTTTACAGCGGTCCACATAGTTCCATCGTCCCGAGAATCACAACTGTCCAGGATTTAACGAGCTCGTGACGCGTTGCTAGGAGGGTCCAAAACGAACGCACAAGGATTTTTTGCAGTTGTCCTGAAGATCGACGGATCGCAGCGACATAGGTATCTTTAACAGTGGAAAATCAGCTTGGCTTGTGAAGCTGGGCGCCGGCCCTATGTGTCTAAGTCTTGCATCCCATGAGCCCATCGATCCCAATCGATTAGTCGGTCGCCAGGCTTGGGTCGAATGGTTAGATTCGAAAAAACTTCTCCGTGATCTCGACGACGCGGGAACAGAACAATGGCGAAAAGAAAAACGTCACTGAGGCTGACTTCTTAATGACGGACATCGTTCAGGCATTTTAGATCTGCGCCTCAATAAACAGTCGGTTTAAAGCGGATAAGAAACAAGCCTTAGGAAATGTGCCACCATCTTAGCTTCTTGCTTGAGGGCGCTGTTTAACAGGTGCCTATTAAAAAGTGCTCGTATTTTCCACCAGTTAAAAGCCGTATATTTAGTCACCCATAGAAGTGAGGAAAGCCCCGATAAGCCAACCGAGTGGCATGGCACTTTAAAGAGGAGTATGTGTTAAATCTGCCAACCTTCGTGATATCGACAAAACCAGGTGAGTTCCTGAAAATCGCTCATGTTACCCCGGACGTTTAGTACGGCTTTCGACGTGGTCTACCAACCACTACGGTATGCAAGGCTCTACTTGCCGACATGAAGGTCTCGCAGCCTAGACAGTCGCGGCTACTGCTTACCCTATTCATGGA